CCAACTCCTGGGCTTAAGCAATTCTCTTGCCTCAGCCTCCCAAGTAGCTGGGACTATAGTAGCCTGGTTGCAGTTTGGCTGGGGCTGGGTTTGAATCTGCCACGCTCAGTGCCGGTCCCTTACTCACTGAGCCACAGGCGCCGCCCTCTCTCTCTTTTTTTTTTTTAATAAACAGGATCTCTGTCCCCGGGCTGGAGTGCAGCGGTGCAAGCATAGCTTACTGCACAGCAGCCTAAAACTCCTGTGCCCAGACACTCAGCCTCTTAAGTAGCTGCAACTGCAGATGCATGCCAGCCTATCTGGCTGGTTTTTTAAAAATTCTTTTTTGTAGAGATGCAGGGTCTTGCTATATTTCCCAGGCTTGTCTCAAACTTCTAGGCCATTCTTCCCACCTTGGCTTCCCAAAGTGTTGGGACAACAGGCATGAACCACTGTGCCCAGCAAGTTAATTTTTTGTGAACTCTTTGAGACAAGTTATGTCCATTTATCTCTTAATATAGCTGTGTGTGTTTGCTAAGAATAAGGTTAAATAACTCAAGTATATTTATTAAATTCAAGAAATCTAACATCGTTTACCATACATTTTTCTAATCTGTAGTTATATTCCAGTACTTTAATTTGTAATTATCATATTCCACTTTTATCAACAGTTCAAGATTTGTCACTCCCCCTTGCCACGGACTGAAAGCATACAGTGAAAGTACTTGGATTAGACCTGCTTCTGCTTGCCCCCCCTCCCATTTTAGTTTAATTATGATGATCATTTGAGACACAGTTGAGTTACTTTTGTTTGTGTTCAATTTAAGATTCTTTTTCTCCCCATCCTTCTTGGTTTAGTTTTATTTTTTAATATTTAACATGTTCCAAAAGTCAGAACTAACAAAAGTTTTTCTCTGCCCATACCTTTCCATGCAACCAAGATCTGATTTCTATCTGTAAAATTTTTGCCTTCTCTGAAATGTCATTTGAATTACAGTCTTTTGTGTCAGGAATCTTTTACTTAGCATAATGCTTTTGAGATTTATCTATATTGTTGCATATATGTCATTCCCTTTTTTATGTATTATTTGTTTTTAATCATAAGTTGGTAGATATTATCTTCATTTTGTAGTGGACAAAACTAATGTACAGATTGATGAAATAAACCCAAGGTCACACAGGACATGGTGGGGCCTGGATTTAAACTTGAACAGTGTCTTAGTCTGTTTGTATATTACTGTAAAGGAATACCTGAAGCTGGATAATTTATAAAGAAAAGGGGTTTTTTTTGGCTCACAGTCCTAAAGGTGGTACAAGAAGCATGGCACCAGCATTTGCTTCTGGTGAGGACCTCAGAAACCTTTCACTCATGGCAGAAGGCAAAGGGAACCAGCATGTCTCATGGCAAGAGAAAGGGGAGAAATAACTTTTTCTGACAATCAGCTCTCTTGAGACGGTCTCACTCTCAAGAGAGTGACACCAAACCATTCATGAGGGATCTTCCCCCACAAGAAAAGTGCCTCTGAACAGGCCCCCCCCGCTTCAGCATTGGGGATCAGATTTTTTATTTTTATTTTTTTCTTTCTGCAAGTGTGACAACCAATGGGGATCAGAATTCAACATGAGATGCAAACCATAGCAGGCAGTTTGTTTTCTTTAAAAAAACTTTTTATTTGGAGGTAATGAATAGGTTTATAGAAGTTGTAAGGCCAGTATACAGATAGATACTGTGTATCCTTCACCCTGTTTCTCTCACGGGTTAATCTTAACCATAGCATGATACAGAACCAAGAAATTTATATTAGTACGATGTATTAATACAGTTGTATGAGGTCTGACAATTAAGTTCATGCACTTATGTTGGCAGCACTATACAAACAACTTGGTAAAGTTCCATAACCTTGATATATTTGGGTATAGAAGTGTCTCACAGCTGTGGTGGTGTCTTGCTGAGTGGTGTTCGTTATTGTTGTTGTGTGTTTGTGTGCTATTGCAAGAGTGCTAGAGCTTGAATTAGAGCAATGAACAAACATTAAATTTCTTATTGAACTTGGCAAAAGTGGAAGTGCAATCAGGGATATATTAGTCCAAGTTTATGGTTATAATGTCATGAAGAAAATGGTAATGTATGGCTTAGTGCCTGTAGCTCAGCAGCTAGGGCACTAGCCACATACATCAGAGCTGGCAGGTTTGAACCCAGCCTGGGCCTGCCAAACAACAATAATAATTACAACCAAAAATAGCTGGGCATTTTGAGGTGGGCGCCTTAGTTCAAGCTACTTGGGAGGCTGAGGCAAGAGAATCACTTAAACCGAAGAGTTGGAGGTTGCTGTGAGCTGTGATGCCACAGCATTCTACCGAGGGTGACATAGTAAGACTCTGTCTCAAAAAAAAAAAAAGAAAGAAAGAAGAAAATGGTTATGTACAAATGGATTAAATGTTTTTCTGACGGAAGAGAAAGTGTCACTGAGGAAGAGAGGTCAAAGCAACCTGTAATGAGCAGAACAGACCAAACATTGCAAAAATTTATTGAATTGTGCATCATAATCATCAGCTGACTGTGAGAAGCATAGCAGTCCAAGTAAACATCAATAGAAAAACAGGAAAATCTTGGCATGAGAAAGGTGTGGCTTTTGCAACATGACAATGCACCAACTCACACAGCACTGCCTGTGAGGGAGTTTTTAGCCAGTCAATGAATAACCAAATTAAAACGCCCTCCCTACTCACCTGATCTGGCCGCCAATGACTTTTTTCTTTACCCAGAGAAATGACTTTTTCCTTTATTCAAAGGTAAAGGAAATATTGAAAAGAAAACATTTTGATGACATAAAAGCCAAAATTGCTTTGAAAGGTAGACTAGGTGCTGGCACCTGTGCATAGCTTCCCAAAAAGAATACTTTGAAGGTGACCATAGTGATATTCAGCAATGAGGTATGTAGCACTTTTTCTAGGATGAGTTCATGAACTTAGTTGTCAGGCTTCATATATCATTTTATCTTGTGCAGATTTGTGTAAGTACCACCACAATCAAGATATAGTATGTCACCATAAAGATCTTATTCATGGCTCGGCGCCTGTGGCTCAAGTGGCTAAGGCGCCAGCCACATACACCTAAGGTGGCGGGTTCGAATCCAGCCCGGGCCCGCCAAACAATAATGATGGTTGCAACCAAAAAAAAGGCACCTGTAGTCCCAGCTACTTGGGAGGCAGAGGCAGGAGACTCACTTGAGCCCAGGAGTTGGA